TTATTATTATTATTATTATTATTATTATTAAGAGACATACTGTTTAAAGCCCAGACAGTTATGTCCTCTTTTTTACTTTATCAATGGATTGGATACTGTCACCTTATCTGTTTACCAACATGAAGTTCCATAATAGCTTTGTAATTTCAATTTTCATTTTCGCATCAGTGCTGCAAACCAGTATTAGCACACATTTTATGTGAATTGAAAGCAGATGTGCAGAAATGCTTTTTGACAAATGCTTGCTGTTTTTGTTGGCCAGTTTTTTTATAATTAAAGAAATTAAGCTACAGTTTAAATCAAAGCTTTGACCCACTTCACCACCGATGGACCACAGACCTGGTACTTGATTGGCTCATTTTGGTAGGGGCCTATTGTGTCCAGTGGTAATGTGTTTCAACATACTAGGTTTCCATTTGCCATTGGTAGCTGGGTCAGATATTTGATTTTCCAGTACAAGCCTCACTTTGATAACACTTCATTCTGCTGTTTTTGTTTGTGCAGTTCTGACAGTGTCATTTTTTTATTATTATTTCTACTAATCCTGAGCTACAATGGATCCAGTATAATTAAGAAATTGAAAATTGCTTAAAACCTATTTAGGAGTCTGTTGGAAGTGGGGCAGGAGACAGTCCTCTGAGATTTGCCATGGTGAACTTCACTTTTGTGACAAGTGACACGTTCTGTTATATCTGCTCTAGTGCTCCAAGGTTTTTGATAAGGTTGATACTGTGGTTTGCTTATCACCCCCTTTCTGTGCTTGTTGACCTGTGGAGAAGTCAGCATGCCCAGTATAATTGAGAATCATTAAATCAGCCATTAAAGTCCTTCTCTGCTATGTATGATGCTGGCTTCAATGTTGGGGTGAGGTTTTCATCATCAAGGGGTTTAACAGAGCAAGGTCACAGAACCTAAGACAATTCCATGTGTCTGCTGGTTCTGCTGCATTTGTTTGAAAGGTTTTTATTACTGCCAACAAGTAATGGAACACCTTTCTCTGCTGACCATACACATTTTATTTTAATTCCTTCCTCCTTGCATCACCTTTTCCTTTTTAATCAAGTCATTCAAAACTAATCAGTTGCTCTAAGTGTTTGTCATGCAGGGCACAGCCAGCAATACATCACCCTCTTAAGTGACATTTCCTGAGACAGCAGTCTTGATTTGTAAAGTGGAATCAATTTAGCTGTTACAATAAGTTATTTTTCTGAGAAGACCTTACTATTTGGGATACCAGGAACTTGGACAAGGATGACAATTATTTAGAAATATTTCTCACCTACATAAGACATCTGGAAATGTAGAAGCTTTGGTTTATAAGAGGATTTTTTATTTAACTTTGGTTGCAGTAGTGCCCATGTAATACATTATAAGGTGAAATCAGAAAAAAATGTCACTAGCTGAGAGCTGAGATTTTGAGCATGCATAATATTTCTGAATAAATAGTGTGTTAGTTACGTACACAGTTAAATTTAAAATTTCAAAACTTTAAAATTTAACAATTTAATCTGCTTATGTGTATAAAAATTAATTTCCTTTAAATTTCAAATAAGTCAAATTAGTCTGCTTACTGTTTGTGTAAAAATCATTTTCCTTTAAATTTCCTTTATGTTTGCCCTGTTTATTCGTATGTCTTCTGTTTACAAGAGAATTTAATTCATAAACTGACGGGTTTTTTTTGACAGACAATACTTGTCAACATTAAATGTAAACTGCCTGATGTCTGGAAACAACCTTTATAGGAGGCATACGCGAAAACAGCAGTGTTCTGTTTCGGGAAACCCAACTTCCATTGTTTTCTTGAAATACATTTTAGGACATGTCCAGATTTCCTACAATGAGAACAGACAATATCTCACTCATTGTGCGGCACAGTGTTCCAGGAGGTGTGGTTCATCTTATTGGGGGAAATCGTTAGTTCTTGGAGCCAAGGGCTGATCTTTTTCCTGTGTTTTTCTTCACTGGATGGCCAATAAAATCCTGGTTCTCATACTGAGCAGCCTGTGCCATCTGACACTATCTGTGACTTTGTCTGAGATACACTCTTGAGCCAGTGGCAGAAATCCACAGATGAAATGGCTGATCCACTCAAGGCTGATGTGTTGTGCACTGTCTGAAACCAGCACTGAGCAAGGTGTATGAGGTCAAACTGGCGGTGTCCTTTGTACAGTAGATCCAACCTGCAAACCAGTGGGCTCTGGCCATTCCCCATGGTCTAGTCATTCTACAGTGTGTTAATAATCATTTGATTGCTATAATTTAGTTGCTTTGTTTTGTGCCAAATCCTTAAGCACATTTTGAGTTTGTTCTGTTAAAAAATGGGGGATAGTTGCACCCCAGTTCTCCTACAGTCAGCCTTACCGTGTATCCATTCTTTCAAGGGCGAGTAGGACATGATACAGATCAGCAGCAGCATCCTTTTCTCTGTAGCTTGAGGTTTTTCTCAGGCTTGCCGTTCATGGAGGCACTGCAGGTCAGTCCGACCCGCTGTAGATGATGAGCTGTCAGCCCCATTTGTTATTATAGCCTGCAGATCTGGAGAGGTGGTTACTCCAGTGCTGTAGTGCTGCAGTGTGTGGATCTGTTCTTCTTTTCCATTAAATATGAAGCAAACTGCTCAATATACTGTATGTATCCAACCCTCCGAGAGACAGCAGTACAATTAAATGAAACAGTTTTTATTGTAAAGACCTTGTAAAGAATCCAAAATCCAAAAGTGTTTCAGAGAAATGGAATGTTCCAAATTCAAGTCTTATAATCCAGAAGGAAGCAAACCAAAAGTCCTTTTTATATCATCTAGAATTAGAAGAGAGAGGCTTTTTCTAAATCTCAGGAATGTGGTTCAGCTTTGAGCCAGGTTTCCCTCCGTAGAGTCCAGCCACACCTTATGTAATTTAGAACTGCATTAAGCCACAGTACTTACAGTATGTCAGCAGCCATATCACCCTGCAACTCACAACTGGCAGCCCACTGAAGCTAAGCCGGTGTGAGCCTGGTCAGTACCTGGATGGGAGACCTCCTGGGAAACACTAAGGCTGCTGCTGGAAGAGGTGTTAGTGGGCCAGCTGTGGTCCATGTGGGTCCTAATGCCCCAGTATAGTGACGGGGACACTATACTGTAAAAAGGGTGCCGTCCTTCGGATGAGACGTAAATCCAAGGTCCTGACTCTCTGTGGTCATTAAAAAATCTCAGGGCATTTCTCGAAAAGAGTGGGGGTGTAACCCCGGCATCCTGGCCAAATTTCCCATTGGCCCTTACCAATTATGGCCTCCTAATAATCCGCATCTATGAATCTGCTGCATTACTCTGTTCTCCTCCCTGCTGATAGCTGTTTTGAGGTGAGTTTTCTGGCGCACTATGGCTGCCGTCGCATCATCCAGGTGGATGCTGCACATTGGTGGGGGTGGAGGGGAGTCCCCATTACCTGTAAAGCGCTTTGAATGGAGTGTAAGCAATTATTATTATGGCTTACCCATGCTGTTTAACAATTGCACCATGGGGACAATGACCTTTCCACTCTTGGAGCGAAAAAGTAACTTTTAGAGCTTGGTAAAGTAACACACCCTTGAGGACAACCTGGTAAATTACCTACAATGAACAGTATGTAGTTCCTTCATGAACTCCAATGCATGCAGTATATATAAAGAAATTAAACAATCAACTGAAAGCTCTAAAGCCTGATGAATAATTCAAATGTATAAAGTTGATACCTTGAAAATTGAATGTTTTCTTCCTCATCTACTTCCAGTTCATACTTTTATTATTATTCTGCCACACTATTGGTATTTTTTAATAAAAATATCCAAGGACTGAGAATCTTGTTGTTGATTTGAACTTTTTTAAGTGTAAAAATGTGGAATTTTTTACCATGATGTACCTTTGAATTGTTAAATGTATAAAAACTGGTATACCTTTGTTAAGATAGAATAGGCCAAGGGAGGTCTTGAGTAATGTGTTAATAATAATTTGTATGTTTTCTATATCTTTTTCAAAGTGTATTACTAAGAACAAAAATTACAGTTTTGTCAAATCAACGTTTGCCTGAGAGGCAAGAAACGTTAAGCATAGACACAGCATATTATGGACTGCCCATCAGCCTTCTGCTTAGCACACAGCATCCTGGGCCTCTTCCAGTGTCTCTGCCAGGTTAGCCGATTTTTTTATTGTGACTCAGTGTAGATTGAAATGTAATTACACTGATAAGGTTTCCTTGCCTGGGCTCTCGTATCATTAACGCAGTATGCACAGGAGTCCCCAGCCAGGGTTGCCTGTGTGCTTATTGAGTTGATTAGTAATTTCTCCATTACTTGTTCCACTAGCTGATTCTAGAAGTCTTTTTGCTGAAAAGGCCAAAGGGCACTGGAGGTAAGTGGGTTGAAAAGTGGAATTTAAAGCAGTTTTTACTGTGAGCCCAGCAAGTGTGTTTTGCCTTTTCAGACATTGAAGAAATCAACTTTTTATACAGCACCCAGCAAACTGTGTTGAGCAGATTTAACAAATAGTCAGTGGCCCAGGGTGCACTGCAGTCATGAGTTTGAGTTGGACCTCATTATTATCCAAGCGACAATTGGCTGCAGTTTGCACAGTCAGATCTTGGATAATTCTGTTCTTAACTGATAACACTTTTTTTGTCATTATTATGAAAGTGTTTATGCATTTAACTCACTCTGTATTATCCGTTGTGGGTGTTCCCCTTCAATTTTGGGCAACGTAATAAGGTAGAGCCTTCAATTTTTACTGTACAGTTTAAAGTGCTACACTCCATATCAGTCTTATGGATGAGACAGAGGTCTAGAACATCTAGACAAAATGAATTTGTTGCTCAGATTGGTTTTACTGCAGTAACCTTTGTATCACCATGGGGTGGTGTACACTTTACTCTTTCGCTTGTCCTGAACATGGACATCTTTTCTTCATGCTGTAAAAGGGCTTCAGCTGAAAGGGTGGTGCAGCTTTCTGTCAACAAAGCTCACATGCACCTGACAAGTCAAAAGGTTGTGCTGTTGTAATAGAAACCAGGGATGTTTTTGCTGACCGTGGTCCACTCAGTTCTATTTGCACTTAATCAAGTGTGCATCTTGCTTTCAATTCACATGCAGATCTGAAGCAAGAGTTCTACACTTTACAAATAGCAAGAATAGAGAAAATATTTTCCAATGGCTGCATAGAGACTAAGAGTAATTCAAGTTCAATAAAATATATATTATTGTGCATTTATTTATAAATGTGGGCAGCACAGTGGCACAGCATTTACCAGAGCTGGGGCCCTGGGTTCAATTCTGGACCTGGAATGCTATCTGTGTGGAATTTGTATGTTCTGCCTGTGTTTGCTTGGGTTTCCCCTGTGTGCTTCAGTTTTCTCCCGCTGTTAAGTTAATTAACTGTTTGGAAAATTTGCCCTGTTTCAAGTATGTGTTTGTGTGTCTGTGTATCCTGTGATGGACTAGCATCCTGCCCATGGTGTACCCCACGTTGAACCCATTGTTTGCCGAGAATGGCTCTGGCTCCCCTGCAGCCCTAAATTGGTTGAAGCGGTTTGGAAATGGATGGATAGACTTTACTAAGTGAAAAAAATTAAGAAAAAGCCTACTTTACAGCTCCCTGGTTCTGGTGTACCCTAAGAAGTGTAGTGTTTTTTACAGACCTCACTCCAGAGGAGAAGGCCCAGAGAGTAGCCAGAGCCATCAGGAAACAGTCAACAGAAGTGAAGGACAAATGGGAGCAACTGAATGCTCATGCCAGCAGTTGGCAGCAGCAGGTGGACAGGGCCCTGGAGAAGCTGCAGGACTTGCAGGGAGTTATGGACCAACTGGACATCCACCTGGCCGATGCAGAACACGTGAGGGAAGGCTGGCAGCCAGTGGGTGACCTCCTCATCGACTCCCTGCAAGATCACATCGACAAAACCACTGTGAGTAAAGAGGCCTAAGATGTTAATGAAACTTTTGGTAGACACATACTATATACAGTAGAAACCTTTTAGGCCTTACTTTGAGGCATTTAGGCCTTTATGTCTTAGTATAGGACTTTTATATGTGACCAAAGTCCTACTTTTTGTAGAGTTAAAGGGTGTTACTGGGATTGGTGCAAAGCAACTCTGACAGCTCTATGTCAGCTAAAAGTGCAGTGAAAAATAGGTATTTTAGTGGCTGTAAGTAATGAGACTTGAAAATGGTATTGCTCACCTGCTCTCAGATTAGTACTTTCTCATTGTTAAGACATACAAATTACTTTGAAATGTAATAAAAAGAATAAAAGAGGCTAGATGTGTAAAAAGGCGCAGCGCTATACAAACAAGATGTTAACCCTCCAATTATTTTACATCACCTCTTACAAGCAGAATCAAACAATTGAGATGTATAAAATCAGAGAGGTTCAGAGAGCTGTCACTCATCTCAGAGTGACAGCTGTTTTACATTACTTCAGTGTTTGCTGGTTTAGGCTGATATAATGCTGGTTTATAGCTGAATTACATTTAATCGTTTGCATTTGAGATTTTATAAAACTTGGATCAGGTTCCTTTGTAGTCTTCACCCTTTATGACTAAAAAGTAAATTCCTACAGTCTGTAAGTGTAGACTCTTCCCCCACACTCCACAGTGAATCTGGCTGATCTTTTCAGGACTGATTCCAGAGCAGCAGTACCTTTTCGATAACATGGTAACCCAATTCTTATTGACCTGCCACAAAAAATGGGCATAGTGTACAAAGAGACAGCTGAATTGCCTGAACTATACAAAATATTAGAGTCCACCTGGCTGTAATTTGGATTTCATGTTTGAACTGTCTAATGGTATTACAGTCTGCCCTCACTGTAATTTAAAACCTGTGACTACAAAGAACCTGGTCCGTGAATTCCAGTTGCAGAGCTTTAAAAAGAAAGTTTTGAAAAAGGGACCACACAGACAAGTATGCACCTCAAAATGCTTGTGGAGCAGTTTGGTATGCTGAAATTAACTCATTGCCACCCACCTTTGGCAGGACTCTCAGCAGAAGGAGAGAGATTTTTGGTTTTCATGGGCTTAGTTTATAAAAAGAATTACAGTAGGTCTAGTATAGACAAAGATGATATTAGGAGTTTTGCTGTAGTTAAATCACCTTTCTTTACATTGCTTAATACAGAGCAGTTCTTATGCAATTTTCTGATTTTATTTTATGTTTGACTGTTTTGATTATTCCATTTCATTTTGAGATATGTGGTTTTTGCGCTATGGTCTTTAATGGATAAGTAGATAAAATACTTTTAGTCACAGTTTATTATTAGCATTACTTATTACAAAACTAGAATAAAGAAAATCATCTGGGCTGGTATTTTTGTAGGTATCGTACTGATTTAAACTAAACACCTCGGGTGATTACATATGCTTACTCCAGCACTTCATTGTTTATTCTGGTTACTTTATCTAAATCTCAACAGATCCGTTATAGTGTTGGGGAGTGGGGTGCTAGAACTTACTGTAGCTCTGTATCATAGATTGAATAAGTCAATTCTGATACCTTTGGTGGAAAGGTTCTCTGCCTTTCCTCTGACGCATATGCTGTAGTTGCGCCGTCCTAGCTATTCCCACCTGTTAGCTCGTGTGAAAATGTTCTCACCCCTTGTCTCCAGTGGAGTCAGCTGTGATGTTGATAAGACCCCCCCCTTCCCTTCATCCTGAGGCCTGATGGTACTATTGTTAGTTATACTTTGGTTCAGCACCAGAGCTCCTGTCTCCTCTCTGTACTCTGTGTCACGGTCCTCCTGTGACCCTCTCCAATGCAGAGCACCATATGGCTTCTTGGCAGCTAAACGTATGTTGGCAGAGGCATCTGCTCTCTCACGCTGAGTTACCTCTGCCCTAAGCACTCTCAGCAATCATATTTTGCTTTTTGCTTCCATGTGACGCATCTGCTCTTCCTCTGTCATTTTTAGTTATCCTGCTCTAATCTTCATACTGTTATACTGGCATATTCCCTAACCTCACATCACCTCTGGGCTGGAAAAGCAGTTGCTAAATACACGAAGCTCCTGATGATCTTTATCATATCCTCAATTCCTGAACTGTGTGTGATAAGTGATAAATAAAACACATAGCTGTTAAGATGACATAGGGTGCCTTGCAGAAATACTTCTAATGCAATAGGCCAATTAGAATTAATGTAATTATGCACTGTACCTATGCTGGCCTCACCCCTTTATTGTGCTGTTAAGCACAGATTTTTTTAGGCAGGTGAATGCTTACTTAGATTTCAGCATAAAGGTCAAATTTTTAATTGTAGCAAGAATCATAAAGGTCTGATAAACATTTTAAATGGTGCATTACATTTAGATAGAAAATAGTCAGGGGGTTTTAAATAGTCTCTTGGAATTTGGAAAAGAAAAGTGAATGTGACATTCTTGAAAGCACATTGCATTTGGTTTTCTTCATGTCAGTATAACATGTAACCTATTTACTAATTTAAGACAATTTGTGAAAGCCCATTTTTCAAATTCTGTTGAAACTTTTGAGTTATGAAAATTCAGTGAAGATTTACACCCTGCATTTTAATTAGTTAATTCCTAAGAATTTGAACTGTAGTCTGACAGGAGCAGCATTCATTAAGTATAATTTAACATAATATTTTTATTTTTATAATTACAACCATCAGTTTAATGAGCTTTGGATTTAACACACAAAATCTGCTAAAAGGGAATTTTAGCTGTAAAACAGAAATACAGAAGTTTCTCCAGAATATCAAACTTGTATTTCTTCTGTTTTTCCCCATTTTAGAATAAAAGTATACATACGTTTTAAAATAAACTTAGATTTAAAATATTGTACAGGTAGTGTTGGCCCGAATATCAGTGGTTCCCTATGAGCGTAGGGCACTTGGTATAGGGATAAGTGAATTGCTTACCATGGGTGGTGTTTGAGTTTCATATACTTTAACAATTTTTTTACAAATCAATCTTTTAATAAAATAAACAAAAATGCATACAAAATGTAAATAAATGTACAAAATGTAACTCTGTAAATGCACAAAAGATAGAACAAAGTAAAAATGAATACTACATAGGTTTCAAATTTAGAAATACCAATGCCCTATAGGGGTATTGTTTGTGTTTCGTGTACTTTAGCAAATTTTATACAGTATACAGTATTTAAGATACATGAAATACAGTGAATGTATATTATCATACAAAAGGCACAAGAACAATTGTCATTGTGTTGATTGCAATTGTTAAAAAAGTCAAAAGATCCAGGAAGCACAGATCTCCACTATATTTCTAATATATTACTGCATTTTGGGGCTAAAAGAACATCATTCATGGTTCCACAGACATTTGGCAATGCTCCCCCTATAAATCTGTTAAAATAAGTGTTTATTTAAATATATTAAATTAATTAGTGGTGAACAGTATTGGTGGGGAGTGTCAACTCCCTGTGTGACATATGTGTGACAGTTTAGACTGTTTATCTTTCAATGACCATATGTTGGCACCTTAATGATAGCACACGTACTAAATGGCTTTCTTGCAAGTAACATAACTGTCATAACTGCAGTGGCAGCATATATCAACATATGAATACATTTTCCAGTGCTCTATTGACCAAAGTATGTTGAAAAATGTACTACACTTTAATTTGTTACTTGCTTTAATAGGCATTCAAGGATGAAATTGCACCAATGAAACAGGAAGTCAGGCTAATGAATGACCTTTCCAGTCAGCTGTCACCCCTTGACGTACAGCTGTCTTCGAGCACCTCCCGACAGCTTGATGACTTGAACATGCGCTGGAAGCTCTTACAGGTAAAAATGTAAAAAATCAGCAGCTTGAGAGAGGTACTGAGCAATCATCTACTGTGTATTTCCGTAAACTGGGCTGTAGATTTCTTTCAGATTCCTTGTTTATTACCTTTGAAAACTACTCATATGCTATGTAGTCTTTATGTGCTAGCTGGAGTGGATATTAGATGTGAAAACAAGAATGCAGTCATGCTGTTGACTGTTGATTGTGTGTGATATCGCAATAAAATACTGTAGGTGTGGTAGTTGAGGCAGAAAGTGACTGTTGTTCCCCTCTCTACAAGACAGCAGCTTTAGTGTGTATGAAGCAATATTTTTAAATCTAATTCATGAGTTTTAAAATTTAAAATAAGATTCCCCCTAAACACTACCAGTGAGATGCTGTTATCAATTAGACCCTATAAATTAATTTGTATTGCCTTCAGCTGATCAAAGTGACAGATAATGAAATACTGTGCATTTAATTCATTATCTGACCCTAGAGGAGAAGATAACTGAAAGACTCCAAACAGCTTTAATAGTTTAGACATATTAATAACTTCTGGGGGTCTCGGTTAGGATCCCATTCACACCTGCATGAGCGTAGGGTAGTGTCTTTGCTTCATTTTCTCTGTCCTTCTCTTGTGTTATGAGTGGTAAGATTGCTCTGGTCCTGAGGGGCACCCTGAGGTGTGAGTATTGACTGTCTTATTGATCACTGTTGTTGGAGGACAGGGATGATTAAGTTGGGTTCCACAAGAATGCCTCCAGGGTTCATTTATTTACATTTAGGGGGGTTGGCAGCAAGCAAATGTTTCCTTGATCTCTCCTGACTCCAAGTATTGAACTCAGATAACAATGTGTCAAACAAAATTGTGTTTAGGGGCTTTTTTCTAATTGCAGAAAACTTACTAATTTTAGAAGACTACCAGATAATAGTAAGGCACTACTGTTAAATGTTTTACTTTCAGATAGGAGGCTTGGAGCTGATCAGTGAGTAGGTTGCTTAAAAATGTTTCACACTGATGTCAAGATAAAGAATTTGAAAATAATATGGCTAAACAGGATCTGTAGATACTGCTATCTGCATACCTATAACATACACGTCCTATTGCACTTCATACAGTTTGTTATGGGCATTCAGTACCATCCTTCTGTTATACTCATGTATTGCTTTATAGCAAATTTATGGAGATGTTCAAACATGTGCAGTAAATGTTATTTTTTTGTTTTAATATGGCAGTCGCAATCCAGTGTGCTTTTGATCTAATTACTTAGTTTGACAGCAGGTTGGAATTTTCATCTTTATTCACCATTTTCTCCTGGCACTAGTGATGTGAATTCTCACATCTATGCCAGAAGGCTTTACCATGACTATTTAGTTATGCAAAGATGATCCACAGACAATCCACAGATATCATAAAATGTTAATTCCTTGCTTTTAATAATATCTTACTTTCCTTTACCACTTTTTCTTTAATGCCAAAGTATTTTTATATTTAAGTAATACTTTTAATAAATATTTTACACACTTTATTCAACACTGGGGTGATGTACAGTATGGCAGCTGTTGTGTGCTAGTCGCCCACTTCATTGCAGAGCAGGTGAAGAAGTGTGTAGTTGCTTCACCTGTGAATTAAGGGTGAACTTTAGGGAGGTGAGATTGTACAGGCCCAGGGTAGAATTTAGCCAGATTATATCTTTACCCCTACTCATATGAATAGTTCCACTGGATTTTTAATAACTAAGTAGACTTGACCTCACTTTTATGTGTTATACAAAGGGCAGCATCTCTTACATCACAGTGTCTTTGGTCCAAGGTCTGGTTGGAAAAATGGCTTGCACTAGTAAAACGCCACCACAAACAACAGCAACCTGTTTTTTCTTAAAGGTCCCCCATCCTAGGCCTAACCTTATATAGCTTTAGCAGAACAGGTAAAGGTTTATTTCATGTTGAAAGGAAAAGAAAAGGGACACAATGTTTCAGCTGTGAAGCCTTCTTCAGGTGTGAGGGAAAGAGGCGAACCGGCAGGTAGTGAAGCTTAGAAAAGAACAAAAGACAGGGTGGTTGAGAGGAGCCAAGAAGTATGGGAGAAGGAGTATCAACACTCTGGGAGAGCTCAAAAACTGCAAATGAATAGAGAGGATTGCCGTTAAGGCAGTGGGGAAAGTGTGATCTTAATTTCATGATAATTTTGGTTTCTGATGTCCTTCTGTAATAGGAGTTCAAAAACCACTCAGTGACAACTTGAATTAGCTTCAGAGATCTCATGAGAGGAGGCTACAGTGTAGTAACGCTGCTGTCTGTTGGGATGACTGTTTACTTTATAGCATAAAACACACAGAAATAAACATAGAATAATTCTATGAAAAGAAACCTGTGAGTTGCATTGAAAATTGTATTCTGTTATCTGTTAAAGGTTATATTAATTACAATATTTCCTACCATTGTTTATGGAAGCTTATAATAAGAAAATAATGTGTTTTTCAGTTTATCAAAATCAACACTAAATAAGAGTGTTTGTCTTAGACACCAGAGATCCCTGGTTTTTATTGCCATTTTCCTGTCTGTCATCCTTACTGTGGTGTATTGATTCACATTTAATGGCAAGAAAGGCAAGAATGTATTGTTCAAAGTGCAGATCTCTGCTACTCTGCCTTTTAAAGCATTAAGCTCCTGTAAAGTAAGGCAGACAGTGTTCTTTTTATTAAGTGGTAATGGGAAGGGCTTTATGCTTTCTGCACATGTAACAATTCAGTCATACAAGGACCCAGCTTAATGTTATCAGGCAAGAAGTTAGGTTGTTTCTATTGATCTGTTTGCTGCTCATCCTTATCTCTTTGCTTGTAGAATTTGAAAAGTGTTTTACATTCCTTGATCTCCAGGTAGCTGTGGAGGATCGCCTCAAGCAGTTACAAGAAGCACACCGAGACTTTGGACCCTCATCCCAGCATTTCCTTTCAAGTAAGAAGAAGCAATACTTATTCACTGCAAAGGAACAAGTAATAGCTTTATTCCATGCTGAAAAAAAGAAGAAAGAAAACACACCTGAGCTTACACCTGAAGAAGGCTCCACGGCCGAAACGTTGTGTTTATTTCTTCTTTTTTTCAGCATGGAATAAAGCTATTACTTGTTCCTTTGCAGCCTACGCATGCTGATGCAGCTACCCACCTGAAATACTTATTCACTGGTTGTTTTTTGGTTATTTGAATGTGTTTTGTGTGTTTAAACAATTTTAATTTTAAAGTAATAAATGAAGTCAGTGCAGTGTTCCTTTCAGGTTCCCCATTGCAGGCAGTAAACCAAACCAGATAATTGGTATAAGTAATTTCTCAAAATCCTGTCAGTACCAAATAAGGGGTGAACTGTAGCTATAATATTAATCCTTATTTTATATAACCTCTTTCTAAGAAAGTAAAATTTAAGGCTAGATCTAGGAACACACAGTGTGGCTTAATCCCTGATTTCTTGTTAAATGGCACAGAAGAGATTTGGGGAAGAGCAACAAAAGGACCCATCACCCACAAAGTGTGTCGTATGCTCTCATTGTTGTTTTAAGTACTGCATGGTAAATATATCAATTACCTTCATTCACATTTGAATCAATATATACCTTCACAAACAATGAGAATTCTAGTTGCGCCCTACAATGCTTGTTTTTAATAGAAGTACATAATTATAATAACTTTAGGTTGAATTTCCATTTATACCCCATGGCTTAGTGTGATTATTGTCATTGAAACATACAATAATGCTGTTTTAAGGTTCTGTCTGTGTATTACATGTAATGAAAACTGTGTTCTTTGTTCTGTGTTCTGCATAAAACATATAAGAAGTTGGCAGTAATTGTTGGTAAAGTACTAAATATAATTCAATGTATTTATTATATCTGTCAAAAGATGTGCACTTGTATTTTTATACTTTCAGAATATAAGGCAGACGTTAAGCCTCCACAAGTTGCAGTGCATTGTATCTTTTCTCATAAAGAAATTACTTTTTTTTTATCATGAAAATCTTGACAATTAAATTGAAGATCTTTAACTGTTTTCTTACTTCTTATAAACTGTGTTTTCTTCTATTTTGGTGCCTATTTTCAAGATCAAGCTTAGTTTTCCTTAAGATTGATACATTTATGTTGCAGCTTCTGTGCAGCTTCCTTGGCAGAGAGCTATATCCCTCAACAAGGTTCCTTACTATATCAAGTAAGTTCTTTTTAATCTTCTCAAGCCCTGGAAATCTGTAGACTGCTGTTGTGCCTAAAGTACCTCATACTTGTTATTATTTTGAACCAGTCAGATATTAAATTTAACAAGGAGAAAAATGCCAGTTTCTTTGTGAAAAAATGTCTGAAAAAATTACCTTATCTTATTGTGGTAATCATTGTTTTCTGTATCTGTAGGTATTGTCTAAAAGGGTTGTTTTGAACATTTTAATACAGTTTTTTTTAATACACAGCTGCTGGTTTGCTTTTTTGTCCCTTCAAGTGTTTAGTTAGATGCAGCAAGTTTTGTAATCAAGGTGGCAGCTGCTTAAAATGCTTGAAAGAAAACACACAGCACTTTGAACACCTACTGTATAATTTGTTCTCCCCAGAAGCTTATTTCTAAGGGATCCACAGTCAAAAGAAAATCTCCATGACGAGCTACATTTTGAGGCGATAGAAACTGCTGGTTAAAATCACAAGAGGCCTCTTCTGTACGCCAGATTCCCTGGGTCCCTCAGTCTCACTAACACCATCCTTTCCCATATGGCTTCACATATTTTTTGCACTTTGCAACTTAGAGCCTCTAAGTAGAAATGAAAGTTAAAAATAGAAAACCATAAAAGGAGCAAAGGAGTCTGTTGAAGTCCCTCCTAACTGACAACCTGGTTACATTTCCTTTCAATACAATGCTGTGCTCTCCTGTAGTTTAAATAACGGAGAGAAAGTATTTCTCTTTGGCAGTGAGCAAGTAGAAATGGACCGAGGAACATCTCAAATAAGAGATAACTTTATTATTAAATTAGAACTTTATATGGATCACACTTGACACATTCATTTGGCTCTGATCCTCGACCTCCAGAGTGTACAAAAAAACTGAAATTAAATGATGCCCTTGCCTCTTTTAACTTGAAGCAGTTGCTGTGGTAAGGAAACTTTTATCTATGATTCATTTACATCAAATTATGTTGCAGAGGTGCCCGGTAATTCTTTTCTTAGTAAATTGTTTCTGTCAGTGCTGTAAAAATGCCACCCTTTGTGAACGTTTACTGTAGACATTTATTCACCTTCTTTAATAGTATTGTCCTCCAAAATAAATTCATGTTGCATAAATCTGTACTGTATTTAGCCAAATTACAAGAGTTGAGACATTTTTAATTAAAAGCTAATTTAGTAAATATTTTTTTCTGAATGTGGTCACATATTAAAGAACTGTTACCAATGTGACAGCTGTAATGTAGAAGAATCACAGTTCTGTATGATCCTAGTGTCATTTCTTTTTCAAGCCTAGGCACTTATTTTGTAAATCCCATATTCTGTTGTGTGAACACCCTTGTTGGTGCAAAAAAAAAAATCACAATTTCTCATCTCCTTTTACTAATAATACACAAGGTGATATACAACAATAAAATTAATAGGATAGTTTTGCTTGACATTAAAATGCAATATTTCTTTTATGTTGAGACCAGTTAGGATAATTTTTTTTTTTATCAGATTTAAGGTTAAACTCAGTCAGCTTCTCAGATTGTACTAATAACACCATATTAAATGTTACACTGTGAGTAAAGAGAGTCTATTTTAACAAGAATCTAAACCAGCACAGGAATCAGATACATACAAAAACAGATATTCACTTTATCAAATCATTATAAATCACATTTTGATACTGCACTGTTTTTTCAACCTCACTTAGCTTTTTTCACTTCTCAGACATAAAGGTATGTTTTCAATAGTTTTTAACAACAGTCCTATTTTAAAAGCACAATTAACAGTGGAGGCATTGTAGCAAAGTGGCTATGTATCTGGACTCAAAACTGGTAGGTTTTGGGTTAAAATCTATGCTGTTGTACCTTTAGTGAGGTACTTTATCCTGTTAGCCCCAGTTTACCCAGCTGTATGTATCCATGACTAGATGAGATCCTGGGCATTTTAAACAACTTATCTACCAAGAAGGCAAGATGGACCGAATGGCCTCCTTGTTTGTACCATGTCAGTTTTTCTGTGTGAATGGTGCACAGCATTTGGCTTTGTGCTGGACTGGTGCCCCATCCAGGAGGAAGTCTCACATTCTCTGTTCACGTAATGCCATGGTAACCAGGATTAGCCCTGACCCAATGGGCTGTTGTGGCTGAAATATGGAAATTACCTACCTGCAGTAAACAGTAATACTCCGTTCTTAGTAATATCCTGGCAGTTATTAATGTATGCTATCTGATCTGTTGAGATTCTGGTTTAAATGAAACTCCAGGAATATCATTTATTTTTTCTTATTATTTAACTGTAAAACGTAATATTCTGTTTTATGAGTTACATGTACAAAGCACTTCTCATTACAAGCACAGCATCACCTTGAATAACTGGATTCACTGTAGCTCTCTAGCGCTGTAACTGTAACACTGTAGCGCTTTAGATTAGTCCGTGAGTCTCTTTTTCTTAGTTTTGCTCTACCAAAAAATTTATTTTAAGTAAATTTGGAGACTCTTCATAACTATTTTTTTAGAACATTAATAAAAATAAGATGGTTTGAAGTAATGCACTTTACCTGTCAGTTTTTTTATATTACGATATATGCACACTAAAAGGAAACACCACCACCATTTGCATGACTTCTGCTACTTTGTTATTAATTCTAAGGGTGGTGAATCATACTGTATGAACATTACCCACAAATTTATATTAAGATATTGCATTTAAATATATATTCGCTTTTAATATCAAAACAAAATTTGTTGCAAAATTAACAATGTTAAACTTATGTTTTATAGTCTGATTTAAACTGTTCCTATTAACTAAAGTATTGGTGACTCAAGCGTTAGTATTACTGCTTTGCAGCACTGGGGCCCTGGGTTCAATTTCTGACCTGGGGTTCTATCTGCGTGTTCTTCCCGTGTTCGTGTGGGTTTCTTCTGGGTCCTCCTGTTTCTCCCCACTGTCAAAAGAGGTTCTGGTATTGGTTATTTGCCTTCTATTAAAGTTAGCCCTGATGTGACTGTGTGCATGTCTGTGTTTGTGTCTCTCAGTATGTGCCTAGTGATGGACTGGTGTCCTGCTAAAGGTTGTATCCTGCCTTGCATATGTTGCTTGCCGAGATGGGCTCCAGCTCCCCTGCAGCCCTAAATTGCTTGGAAAATAGATGAATGGAACAATGGTGGTGCTGTTAGTAACACACATAGAAAACACACTTGTAGAATATTATAGTAACAAAACTAGAAACTGCTCCCTTCATTTCCAATAATGAAGAAGTAAGTGAAGAAATGTGTTGGTACAGAAGAAAACTGTCTTCACATCTTGCAACATTTTTAATAAGCATTATGATGAGGTGAGCAGATGTGAAAAGCTGTGTCTTGCAGAGAGGCTCATGAGTCCAATAGCTGAGCCCAGTGAAGGCTCAAAGACTGACAAGAGCTGACGGGGATTGCTGAAGCAGACCGGAAAGGGGAGGCTCACAGGACTGATTTGTAAAAGGAGGCGGACGCAGCTTTCAAGGCTGATCCAGGCAGGGTGGCGGCCCTTCTTGCAGGATTACGGGCCGAACGGTCAGAAACGTGTCTGGAGCTTAGCAAAAGAAGCAGGGCATAAATGGGGAGCGCAGGTTTGAGACAGACTGGGAATCTTTTGCGCAGGATTCAGGCTGAATGTCCGGCTGAGGTTAATAATCCTAAGAACACTACCCTGGTCAGAGCACAAGATAGTCCAGGTATCCTGACGGAATTAGAACCCATTAATTGGAGGAAGTTGGAAGGGGCATCCGGCCTGAGTGAATCTGAACATACCTGGATGATGTTCAACTTCTTGTGCAAATGTGGTTTTAGAGAGCCTTGAGTTCTGCCTTTCCAAAGCATAACAATAAGATTCTTTATGTTTTTTTTCCTAATCTTCACAATCTTCATAGAGTACTTTGATTAACAATCTTGTTCAGAATGTTTTCATTCACAGCATCAAATAAACACCACCAAAACAAGCTAGAATACTTAAAAGACAGGTGTGCTTTTGATGAAGCTACTATTAAAGACTTATAAGGACTGACAGATTTACATGCAAATGTCTCAATTTGCATTCAAAAGAACATTGCTGGCATTTTTTAAACAGCATCATACTCCTTCTTACACTAAAAATAATTTAACATTATATTCTAGCGCTTAGGGATTTATATTGCTCTACTCTTTCAGCCTGTTGTCCATAAATAATTAAGCCATTAACTGTGTTGTGTTGTTCTAAAATTAAATTGGCAATCCCCCCGTACTCTGTACATTTAGGTTGAAGATCTTTTTCATCTGCCATTCAAAATGTGATGTGTTCGTGATAGCTAGTTAATCAGAATTTTTGTATGCTACGACAGAGAGGACTAATACTACTACAGTCATCTATATGTAGTGTAAACAGAACTAGAAGACAGATTGATCCTTGAAGAGCACCTGGAGATTGCCTTCACTCTAGATGTTATGCCATTAAATCTAACAGATTAGGGCCTGTTTGTCAAAAAGAACATGACCCAAGCTTCAAACAAGAGAATCAAATTTAAACAGACATAAGAAGACAGTGAAAATCAGATGTCAGTCAACATTATCTGTGTTTTTTATGATTCTAATAGTATTTTTAAATTTAAGACAGAAAAATCCAGAAATAGATTTCTTTTATCTTAAGGTTACAAAGAAAAACTGCTAAATTAATAATAAAGAACAATAAATAAAAAATATGGATGCACTTCAATTTAGGACTTCAAACCGTTCTGGACCAACTAGGCAATCTAAAATATGCATGACACAAAACCCACCTGAGAAGATTGACAAGCGGCACAGAACTATTAATGGGTTAAAGCAAAGAGAGGCAGCAAATGAGCAAAATAAAATTCCTGACATCTATTCATCCTTTCTTCACTGCAGGGCTGTTAAGACAGAAGTGCCTCTGAGAGGTATAACCTTCCCCCCAACCTTTCATGTCTTTAGAATGACCTCCTTTTCTTTCCTGGTGTGAACTCACAAGCTTTATTTTGACCTGCTGTTCCAGATCCACTTTTCTTCCCCAGTTATTATGTCTAATGGGTGCCCCCTGTTGGTATTCATCAAAAAAGGTTGGTTGGGTTCTGACATATGTACTGAGATGGGCAAAAGACAGCTACACAGAGAAATCATGGGTCACAGGGTTAGTTGTAGCCAACAGTGGAATCTCTGTACAGATGTGGATTTCTCTGAACCATTGAAAGTATGGCTGGGAGTATACTCTTGTGGAAATATCCCAGCATCCTTCAAACAATCAGTGAATGTACTAATACTGGGAAAAAAGAAATAAGCTGCAAGTTGTCCCTGTTATCTGAATTATGTGACTTCAGTACTTTTGTAAATAAAAAAAAAAACATTCAGCTAGAAGGACAAAGCTGATCTGCAGCTTTCAGGCTATAAAACTTTGAAACTCAGATTCCTAAATTAATTTCTACATCACACCTTGCCAGGCATCTTTTGCCTTTTAAAATGAAATGTTTTATGGTAATAAATATATTACATTAAAGAAGAAGTGAAGAGTTACAAAGGCAATATTTGAACTTTTATGTGTTAATTTGGGCATTTATTAATTGCCCTGACTGTGTACTTAATTAGATGTACAGACTGAAGCAGATAAATTGCAACTGAGTTTTGATATTTGCAGCAAGCAGGTTTCGAAGCTCTGAGGGATGTGTACCACATTTAATATAAAAAGGCAGAATTCTCAAAGCATTTCTTCCTTTTTTTTCATTTCAAAGCAATCTATGTGTCAAAAGGCATCTCTGGATAAGATTTACAGTAAAATAAATGGCACATGGCGCAGCTTTGGTGAAGACTACCACTTTTTTAATAGCCTTTATACTTTTTCTGTGAGGTAAGGGTTTTCTGTCTTGGCATCAAAGAAGTCCTTATAGTTCACTGTTGGCTTGCTCTAGTGGTTGTGATTGGTGTTTACCAAATGTGCTGAAATGAAATGCAATGAAAAGGTTTCTGACCTTTTCAATACTGGCCACATTTTGTGTTCAACAAGATATATTTGGCACGCTGAAGTTATACAAAAATAAATTCACTAATTAGGTAAACTACATTAACCAGGTTCTGTGAGTAATTATCTTGTAAAAACCTTACACCTACAGTAAAAATTAGTCCTTTAAGCTCAAGCTCATGAGTTCCCAATAATAACATGTGACTGCCTGAGTGCTTCTGATGTGCTTCTGAGATTCTGTGGGCAGGGGAGGTCTTGACCTCATGTTCCTCTTGTTATCATTTGGACACTTTCAGGTTTTATCACTTACAGCTGTTATCTGCTCTGTCCATAGAACTAAAGCTTGTTTTATGTTCCAGCACACATCTTCCACTGTACAGTATGTTGTCTTCATCTCTTTGATCCTATTGCAGGTCTGGACTATTAAATAGCCACTCCAGTGTAGAGGCTTTCCAATGGCAGTAAAAAGTCTGTGTAATCCTGTAACAGAATCCCTATTTAACTTGTTTTATTTCCAGAATGTTGTACGTTCAAACAAAAGCAAAAAACAAAACAACAACTACATTAACTCTCTTTGGAGCCCTCCCTATATTCTAGGTTGGTTTTCGTGCTTACTATAGGGTATGTAGCTAAATTCCCTGCAAATCACTCCACAGACGACAGAGATTCACTGTAGATTATTTATCATTTCCATCAAAGCTGCTCCATCTTCTCATGATTTTTGCAAAGACAGCCCTGCTTTACTTTACAGGGTTTATTTGTATCAGGTGGGCCATGATTATGTCTGTTGGCAACCATGCTCTATTACTGGACTGGCTGCCGCCATTTTGACTTTGTGACTACATCAAAGCCAGAATGACCACTTTGTTCAGAAGTTTCCCAGGGTCCTCTCAGGTGAGTTCTCCTTTCAGGGATGTAGACTCCCTCACAGGGTCTTATATATGCTAACAAAATAGTGGCAGTTTTATAACGCATAATAATGTAGGCTACAGTATAATGATTCCTAATGCTTTACCTCAAACGTGCAAGTTGTGTTTTGGTGACTAAAATTGTTCTTTAAGTGAAGTCTGTGGTAATAACGTATTGTCCTCGTCAGTTTAATTAATACTTAGTCCAGCAGATCCTCATGATTTTATAGAACTTTATGTACTATGCAGTGTACTCTGTCGTGGAATGTGTTTTATGAGCAACTAATGTAATGATGTGAGTCCCATACAAGCTGTTGACTGCTTTCTTTTTTTCCCCATCAGTTTTTAGGGTCTACATTTTTCCAGACAGGAAAATACTGTATCATTGCCCTGCTTTTCAGTTCTGTGTGTCCCATGTACATTTTAGGTACTTGTGAAACTTTAGTCTTTTACGTGTCTGTCAAGTGTATGTAGTGCATCCTTAAATACTTTATCATGGAGCCAGTTTTCTTCTTTTCCTTATTACCTGTATCATAACAAATGTCAATGCCTGTTTATGTTTTGTAGCCTTTCATTGTGGTTTAGGGATTTCCTTTTTTTTAACCTTTCTTTTAATTACTATGTGAATCGCTGAACATTTTCATTTTTTTTTAGAAAGCGGTTGGAGATGACTTGCTGTTATTTGACTGTCAGCTAAAGGTTTTTTGAGTAAATATTTCTGGGCAGTGTAATCATCTGATAAAAAGTCTGGGGCATTTTTTTTCTCATTTTTTCAAATATTGAAATTTCACTCAGAGTGCATTAGAGTCTGAATTGTTTTTTTATTTTAATGCAAGTGACAAGGCTTGGCCTTAGTTGAAAGTGTTGCAGGAAAAGCACCTACTATGACATGCTTTTCAAAGACCAGGTCTGGATCTGTAAACAGGTGAACCAGATTGTTGAATGTTGTTAAAGGTTGTTCTGCAACAAATGATTCACAACTCAGGAATTCTTGTCAAATAGCTACACAGAACATTTTTCAAGCAAATATGGAGGTTTTAAAACATAGCAGGACTGTATATGGCATTGCATATGTGTTTTCGCATTTTAAAAAGTAATTGTCTTTTATTGTATTCTCCTCTGAATTTTAAAAGATGTACAAAGCATGTGCAAGTATGCCACTTTGCATGTCAATTTTAACATCTTTCAGAGTATATTAGGGTTGCTTTTTATCTCAGGATCCTGACAAACAACCTGGACCACAAGTGACTTAACATAAAACAGTCATGGATAAGAAACCTTCCCTGGAGCCATTTCATGAGAAAGTTGTATATTCTACTACTACTTTCCAAATTACTTTTGTAACCTTATGTTGGGAATTGCTTTCCTTTGGAATGGACAGGAAGTACTTATACAGGACAAGGATGTCTTCTCATTTCAAATTAAACATGAATGAATGATCCGGGTCTGGTAACATTTTAATATTTTGAACAAATATTGAGAAAACAAAACATCAGAAGACACCTGTTTCATCTATTGGATTTAATTTGCTGGAGAATCTGAAAACGGTGCCAATGGAGTCATGATTCAGTTTGTGAAACCGATTCCCCCTTTTCTAAATTAAAGTAAAAATGAAATTGTAAAATAAACATTAGAAGTTATATTTGAAGAGCAAAACAGAGATGTATCTCATTCTTAAAACCTGTATTTCTTATGCAAGTTTCATATGTTACTAGAAGCTCAGAGTATTCTGTTTTTACTCCATATCTTGCATATCTTTTTTTATTTTGGTATTAAAGCACTTTGCACTATTTTCTGGTGTAATTTTTGCTTTTCTTCTGGCTGCCAAATGGAACCAAGGAAATAAAACCATGGACAATGCACTGCTGTACTGTAGCACCAGCAGTATTACAGGCCAGACATTCACAATTATATCCAGGCTTGTGCTGTAAAGAAACCTTGCAGGAAGAAAAGGGCTCATAGAGTTTTCATGCAGGATTATGAATGCAGAATCTGTGAAATGGTAGGGTAATGTATTTTATTTTTTTTGCTTTGTTACAGCCATCAGACCCAGACGACCTGCTGGGACCATCCAAAGATGACAGAGCTGTTCCACTCTTTAGGTATGAAAACTTGCCTTTTCGTTAACATGGCTGCAAGCCAGCTCCTCTGTCTCATGTAAATAAGGTAGTTTTCTAAAGAGAAGAGCTGGTTTACTGGACTCTTCCAACAGTAGCTGGCAGCCTGAATGGGATGACATTTTGCAATAGCAACAGTAGAAAGCTCATTTTCTGATTTTTATGCATGTTCAAAGACAGATCTTGCCTACTAAATTTGAAATATCTTAATTAATTTTACCTAGGTCTGAAATAGGGCTTATGACCTCAGCTAGGGTTCTGAGATCTTCTGGGCATGTTTTATTTTAAAACAGCTGAAACCTTTAAGCTTTCTAAGGAATCTGATATTCCAGGAAGATTGTTTCACAATGTTAATTGTTCGCATTGCCATATTCATCTTATTATAATCCATGCTTAGTGCTTATAACTAACCAGCAGTCTTTTTAGATTTGTATTTAGTATTGCTTATACGTCATGTTTAGAGCTCATTTCCATTTAGAAGTTTTAGTGAATTATTATGTATTTGTGAATGGACAAGAGAATATGAACAAATTATTCAGAACTGTTGACTCAGTATCTCAATTTGAGCAACATTTAACTCATCCTATTTTCATAATTCTTTGGTTTTTCTTAAAAATACTGTTGTTTTGATTTTTTGGGGAAACCTAGAAGCTAGTGGTTATAATTGCAACTGTATTTTGTGACCTTTGCTTAGTAAGCCTTGTTACTTCATTTGTCTGGTGTTTAACCTTTTCAAAAGCTACAGCCTGACCCCTTATGATAAGAAACACATTCCTTCAATCCATAATCTACATTTCATTGCAATCCAAAGCTCTGTTCAGAGAGAATCAAAGCCACAACAGTTTCCTTCTCAGGGTTAACAAGCTTTGGCATTATGGTCTTAGCAGATGGGCCTAATGAGGAGCACTTTCTTTTATGTGAACGTGTACTGCCAGGTGGTCATTTTAGCTCACTAGCTCTATTGAAAAAGGAATAATGTAATGAATGAGTGTGATTTTCAAGATAATAGGTCTGATAATAATGCCAAGTGAAATGACGAGAAAAATTATGCAACTGAGACAGTGCCAGTTTTGTTTCTTTTGCTTTTTATATTAGGAAGGCACTTGGCAAGATTACAGTATGTCTAATTGTTCAGGTGCCTTTAGGAAGCTGGACACAGTCAAGAAATCCCTCTGCCACATTTTGTGTGCTTGCTAATTTCAATAAAAATATAATAATATTAATACACAACATCTTTTAAAATAATGGTGTAACACCATTACTTGTTTTTATTGAAGTTTTTGTGGATTCTTTTGTGCTTCTTTCCATGGGGAGAACATTTTAAAGGAATTGTATTCATACAGTATTTATTTGTCTTATTGATCAGATCAGTATCTCCTCTTTAGTAAAATAGTTTGAGACAATCTGCTTTATTTAGAAACATTTAGACACCAAATAATCCAGATGGGATATTAGTAGATGAGCCTTGAAATAATACCTCAGCAATTTAAATATTTGTTGAAAAATGGTGAAACTTTTTTATGATATAGAGTAACATTAATCCATTACCATAATACGCAACCTTAAGATACACCAAACATATAGCTAATATCAGGGAAACAGTTGGTTTCTGAGGTTTCACTGCCTCAATAACTGGATAAATAGTTAAAAAATTGGATAATGATAATAGAAATAATAAAAGGTATGCTTTAATATGATGTTAACAAGGATTTTGGTTGTATATTACATGCTGTACAATACAGCCATAGGTCAGGTGGAAGGACTTAGTGCCTTATTCTGAATCACTTCTATGATGGCAAGCCCTGTCAGGCAACAGTGAAAGGGACAATTTAGAATAGACAAAGTTCTCTATCTTCTGTCTCTTTTGGGGGTTTTCTGTTTGGTTCTCATTGTATGGTATTTGATTGAGATTGTATGGTCCTTGATTAAGAGGACTGTATATATTTATATGTATATTTTTAGGCTACTTTCTGTTATGTTCCTTCTCAAAAACCCCTTGCCCTTGATTTATATTTAAAAGTATACTGTATAACTGTATTTTTCCTCTTGCAGCTGATTTGAACAATGTGCGGTTCTCTGCCTACCGGACAGCCATGAAGATTCGCAGACTACAGAAAGCACTCTGCTGTAAGTGTCTGTTGAAACCCTTTCTTTTGTGACCAGATACCAGTAGGCTCTGTGTCCATCCAAGAAACAATAAGTTGTTGCTGTAATATCTCTAACTTTAGTTTAGTTTGCCCTGGATGTGAACTTTGGCATTGTGTTATCATAAAAGAAAGCTCTTCTCATTACCTTTTTAAAGAAAAAGTATAAGCATATTAAATGGAAGTTTGCTGCGATGCCATTTTTTGTAATAACGTTCAACAACAAATTAGCCTTAACTGAGATGATTATGCCTGCAACCAAATTAGAGCACAAGTTATACTGCTGTTTCTTATTTTCCCTCAGTCATGGTTGTCTCATCCAAAAAGTACTTGGAAAATGATTAGAGATCTATAGTGGTGTTTTATATGGGGTATAGAGTATGGAGGTTACAAAGGGTTGAATGTTTTAGAATGAAAATGTGTGTAAATTAGTACTCCTAGTACAAAGAGAAGAACAAGGAGCCCAGAGCAAAGATAAAAATGTTATTTTTTATTTTTCTGTCAACTGTAATGTTGTCACATCTGTATTCAGATCATATTTCTACTTTTGTTGCAAAGACTGGAAAAGTATTTGCCAGACAGGGTGCCCAAAGCTGTAAAATATTACAGATGACAGCATCTGAAGATTAGAAAAGTAATTTCTGCGCTAATGAGGTATTTTTTTGCCAGATTGTAATTGAACAGGTGTTAATATTACAGAAAGGTCTATGCTGCTGTGTGCTTGTATTTTTACTTTGTCAGTTGTTATTTGTCAGCCTTATGGTTTTTATATGTTGAATAGCATTCTTTATTTTATTTGTTTAAAAGTTTTTTTTTCTGCAAGTTAGCAGTTTTAACATTCACAGAAGGTCTCTGAAAGTAGGATCAGACACTGAAGCCTCCATTCTTCCTTGTTAATTACTGTCTGTCACCTTTCCATGTTTACTGGAAAATAATTCTTTTGACTTTCTAAGTACTTTTAATTGTGTAAGACATCTTCCATACTGGTAATACTCAAAGAATTAAAAAAGACATGGGTATTTTCTATATAAGGAAACAAATTTACATTTAGGAGAAGAAAAATAGTTCAAGGATCTTATATTTACTGAACAATAATAGTGGCAGTTTACAGTAAGGAATTTTATAGTGCTGAGGGAGGAGACAGAATGAGTTTAGTCAGATCATTGACAGGAAAAGGATCAATGTGGATGGTTGTAGACATGTTACAAGGGATTTTTTCAGACGTTCTCTCATGTTGAAGGAAACTGTCTATCATGGTATCTGTAAAGAGCTTAAGTGCAATGGTCAATCCATCTAAATTAAAGAAGACCAAAATTCATGATTAGTGTTTCCTAAAGAGTGCAAGACAATGGTAATAGAAATGATAAAAGATTTGAAAATTAAAATTTTAAGTTTGTGAAGCACATTCCGGTAGTAACCCTTAATGTTTTTTAATACTTTTGAATGACTTGTCCAATCAGAGCTGTTGTCTCACTGATCATATGATCGTAATGATGCATGGAATTTTTAAGTTGTTTTCTAACACACAACAAAGTAGTTGGAAGTAACAAATGATGCAAAAGCCCTTTTGCAGTCAAACTAACCCCATTTCATTTGACAATTAACCTGAATCACAACTGAGCAAAACTTAAACTGGAGACAAGGAACCTGATTTATGTACTGTATACTCTGACGATACTCAAATTTACATTCATACCAAACCTGACACTGATGTGGCTGTCTCTATTCTATCTAATTGCATCTCTGACAAAAAAATTTGGATGACTCAAAACGTCCTTCATCTTAACTGCGACAAGACTGAAGTCATGCTTATTGGCACCCCCCATCAACTTCGTAAAGCCAGTCCTGTAACCCTATCTGTAGATGGTTCTATACTTGAGCTTCAATCAAAATTGAAAAGCCTTGGGGTTATATTCGATTCTGGCTTAACATTCGACCCACATGTGCAGCATACTGTCAAAACATCTTTTTTTTCACCATATAAATATCGCTAAACTGTGCCCTATGCTATCATTAACTGTGGCTGAAAAGCTGATCAACACATTTGTGTTCTCTCAAATTGACTACTGTAATGCTCTACTCTCTGGGGTATCTAAATCTACTCTGAACAAACTGCAGTATGTCCAAAATTCAGCAGCCAGAATCATGACCAGGTCTAGTGCAAGCGTTCACATTACTCCTATCCTGGAGTCCTTGCACTGGCTTCCGATCAAATTCCGTGTAGACTTTAAAATCCTCATGCTCACCTATAAGGCTCTGTATGGCTTGGCACCTCAGTACCTGTCTGAACTATTATCGCCCTACTCCCCACCTCGCAACCTTTGCTCTTTTAATTCTGCCCTCCTAGGTGACAGGGCCTTCTCCTGTTATGCCCCCAAGCTCTGGAACTCTCTCCCCAAGGATATCAGAGAGTCACCTTCCCTAAACTCCTTCAAATCCAGACTCAAAACCCTCTTCTTCAGAAAGTCTTTACTTAACTGGTTCCATTCTTCACTCCTCTGCTTTCTTAGTACCACCATCCTCGGTCTCCTCTATATATTGTAATTGTGTTTTATTTTGTGTATTGTTCTTATTTATTGTTGTTGTCATCCTGTAAAGCGCTTTGAGAAGCCACCTTTAAAGGCGCTATATAAAATAAAGTTTATTATTATTATTGTATATTCTAAGTGAAAAAGAAAATACCACCAACGAAGTTGGCAAGCTACTAGCTATAAAATAGTAAATTTGCATTGTTAATTTGACAGCTTTTAAATGTGCAAATTAGACAGTTCATCTTTGAAAATGTGCATTAAAAGCCTGTTATGCCAAAGAAAAACATATTTTGATTAAGGAATAATTGGATGCGATGGTCATGTAGAAACATTTTTTTTGATATAATAGAAAGCATTTAGGGTGTTTTGAGCACATAGACTACCCTAGACTGATATGAGAAGCAGAGGACAGCTGCTGTATGACGGGCTCAGACATCACTTTATTGTGAAGAGATCACACTATACTGATGGAAAAAAGAAGCGCACCATTTTCTGGAATGAGAATACTATAGTTCTAGCTTATGTACTCTCACAAAAAGTTGTCAATTTGTTTTAAGCCCTCTGACCAGCAATACAGCTTGTGCAGTGAGGCATTGCAACTTACCAGTCCCACGAAAGCTTGTTAGGTGCATTATTTTCAGCAGCTGCGCGGAAGATCTGCCAGTCAGTGGCAGCAAAACAGTGATTTAGTATAAGATCTCATTCATCTGACCAACGTTGAATGGTTCTTAACACAATGCCCACATCAGTGACAGGACAGTGAGGCTCCATGCTGCAGGCCTTAGAGCAAGACAACCTGTCAGAGGCCTTCTGCTCACACCTCCTAGACGTCACACCCAACTGGCTTGGTCCAGACAGAGGCTCAGATGGACTCGTCAGCAGTGGCATCAGGTCCTCTTCACGGATGAGTCACTCTTCAGCCTGTTCCACACAGACAGGAGGGCCAGAGTGTGGAGGAGGTGTTTTGCGTTTTTTTTTCCTTTAGTATACGGTATATACAGTACTTGGATTCATTAGATTCCTTCCAGACCAATTTTCATTAAAAGTGTTTGGAGGAGCTTTTTGGGTGGTATTTCCTCCACTTCTTTGAGATGTGTTTTATTCCTTTTTTTCTTTAAAAAACCTGTGAAAGCCTTTTTAAATTAGAAAATTAAAATAATTTAACTATCAATTTGTGAATTATTTTTGTCCATCAGATACAACAGCTTTGGTATAATCGTATTGTACTGGGATGCTACTGGTCAGTTATAAATGTTGCTGGACTGTTTCTGCAGTTTAATGGGTTTCTTTACTGTATTCGTACTGTGAAATGGGCAGGAATCCTATTTAAAAACCCAGTTAGGTGAAATCACTGTCATCAGCCTCTGCATAATAAAACAATTTACCAAAACAAGTAGTGCTCAGAAGGAATCTAAGAATGATGTTTGTTTGACAAGAAGCTCACTATAGAGCCTTGCTGTGCTGGTAAACTACAGAATTAGTTATTTCTGAAGTGGCAACAGAATGGGGTTTAAATAGTTAGGGAGCAAAACAGCACCAAAGATGCACCTGCTGTAGCAAGACATCAGGATTCCTATTTAACAGGAACTTGAAAAATACCATAGTCTGCCTTGGAAGCCATTTTAAATCCTTACGTAGCCTGCTTGAAATCAGGCCATTATACTTCAGGATATTGCATTTACTTCAGCATTTTGGTACTTTTTTATTATACTTCAGGGTAATGATTCTTTGGCAGCCCAGATACAAGTGAACACTAAAATTCAAATAGATTCAGAATAATACAAAAATAGTGGCTCTTAGGGAAACAAAGCATCGAATTAAAGCTTTTTTATCTGCAAATTTAAAAAAAGAGCACAATAAGCTGCTGTTATGAGACAGCTTCCTTGTTAAGAGTATAGTATAGTTTTAAACAGATGTACTTGTGATCTTAGAGGCAATAGGTTGATAAATGAGCAATATTGTTGTGAGCTGAAAGCTAGAGAATTAAAACCTTTGGAAAAAAACCTTAACCCTGTGGTTTTGAAAGACTGCTACTGAAAAAGGTGTACCTAATACCTCTTTATCACAAATAGTTTACAATATTGATATTGTACTAGCTGACTTATTTGAATGTTAGCAAACAAAAATTAGCATATTGACTGTGTAGTTATGTGGGTCACTGTAAAGAAATGTCGGTTTTCTTTTGAATTATTGGCAAAACATAATCAGTATTAAATCAATATGCATGATATTTTACCTTATGTATGATGTAGTTCTGAGGAAAACTGAAATTGTCATCTTTCCTGGAGCTGGACATAGTTTTAGATGGTGGTTAGAGAGGGAAAGTGAAAAACAAACTTTATATACAGTAGGTGTGTGTAGAGATTGTTGCAAACATAAGTACAGCTAAAGCCTTTTAGAATATTTAGTTTATCAAAACTGACACTTTCTAGGTTGAGTTAAGGATTCAGTA